AAAAGGGTGAGCAAGAAGCCACTAGTGTCTCAATGCGAATGTTCATACATCTCAATCACTTACGTTTGCTTTGCTAGGTCAATGTCCTCCGAATCTCACTGACTGGTTGTGTTTGCAGGCCATTTAACACGCCGTGACCACACTAAGCTGGACACAACCTGCGAGGTGGGCATTCGATGAAAACGTGGTGTTAGAAGCATGAAAAACCGACTGAGAGACTTTATGACGGACTGCAGCGTGCTGTCTTTGAAAATAGGGGACGCGGATGAATCCATAGAATGGGCTGGAGGCCCGGGTTTCAGGACATGATTGCAGTGACAAAGTAAGTGAAGTACCTTCACATCGATTTATTGCAGTTATTTTGCTACTTCGCGTTTAATATACTGATAACATAATCAATATCTAGAAATCAGTTCAAGGTGAGTATCTGGTTCGGTTAAACACTCATCGGACCCTAAACGTTTACATAGCACTGATTGTGGGGAAGTCGTCCACTAGGGCTGGGATATAACTTCTGGACTGTCAGGAATATCAAATCGATAACTTGAGACAAGATGGTAAACCAATAAAAACTAAATGCACACGACATACCAAAGCTCAGAAGTCCAAATTATAAAAGTATGTAAGTATAACAGCCAAAATAACTAAGTAGACAGTGTTCCGTTGCCAAGGTATAGTAATCGGCCGTTTAACACATCCCTACTGGTTTATAACAAGGGCGAAATGAGGTCTCAGACAGCTCAATCATTCGCACACCTCCTCGAATGTGCCAAACAGCTTCAGAGAATGACTTCAAATCATTTGAATCACTACCTGAACACCTTCTCGCTAAGGATCCCGCAAACACTCTTATCCATCGCCGTGGCTATCTACATTCACCACTCTGAAAGCCGGAATTACGTGTACAAAAGACGTATATCATCGGATGCTGGCCGGATACTACTTCCGTAGGCTTGCCAACGGACAAACTCGCCACTTACTTGTCTGCGCTGGTTATCTTATTACTACTTAATTACTTCGGACTACTGAGCTTTGACGTATGTGTGTGCATTTAGTTTACTTGGTTTACCATCTCTGTCGCAAGTTATCGGTTTTTGATCATTCAGTACATCCCGAAGTAAATCCCCAGCCAGAGTTGACGCTTTCCCCACAATCAGTGTTTTAGTAAAAGTATGGTTCCGATAAGAGTTAACCGAAAAAGAATTCTTCACCTGATCAGATTTCTGATACTGATACATGTTAATGAAATGGGAATCAATGCTTTGCTGAATGAAAAGCGTGACCCGTGATTCATGTGAAACAAGAATATACGTTCTACCGGCAACTCCTTCCTGCTTCCCAGTTTCTTTACATTATAGTTTGCATTCAACTTCCACTAGCATTCGTTGATATGCACGGTTATTCTTACGGATGTGAATTGTGCAACAGGACACACTCGCATCACCGCACTTGGTGCCTCCGGCATCAAAGTTTGTTCCAACTGAAAGGGAAACTGAGCTGAAGGTGGATCTTGAATCCGTATCATTCCAACTTCCGCTTTTCCCTGAACAAACCTAATACCAATAGTCAGAGCCAGACAATCCCGTGGGCTCAGATAGGATACAAAATCAATACAAGTCTTCTGCCAAACACGAATTAATTCAATACTTTCACTCGGTCAATGCTTGAATGCTGTAACTTCATCTATCGCAGCATGCTGATGATGGACAAGAAAGCTATGACAAGGGTTCCAAATATCGATGGCTACAACGAAGACTTCGCACAAAACAAATACGGTATACTAGTATTAACGGGGCTAGAACAACCATACATTCCTAACTTTTTTCCTCATCAGATCCGCCCGCTATTATAGAACAGCCTGTCAGAGCGCACAATCAGGGCAATGTAAATCCCGATGACAGTTCCACACTAAACTTGATAGATACTTTAGGTCTGTAAGCGTTACTCATCCATGATTATCCGTAAATCACCTGATGGGGTGCAATATTTCAGATGGTACATCTTTTATATATATGCCCCCGGTGTGGCTGCGCTTGATGTGAAATGGTTGACAAGGATGGTTTACCTGTCTATCACCCACCATGTCTATGTCGGCCTCCAGGAGTCAGCTTGGTGTTGCACTGGAGGTGACTGAGTGCACGGTCCCTCGTTAACCATGCTCGGCTCGAAAAGTGGGTTCTCATGCAACCATTGTGGAGAGAAACCCACGTCTAGCCACCGTCTTGCTTTCGCGTGGTACATACGTTTCCCAATTAAGCGGAAAGCCGACTTGTTTCTGCTTGTTAAAGGAGTGTCAGACGGCTTTGTTGATAATACGTAACTCCCATCCGTATGCTTTCTTGTCTTAATTCCCTCCGGGTTACACTGATAATGGTGTGTTGTGGTGGAACTCTGCGGTGGTGCAGCGCAAGCCACCTATGATCTCTCCCCTCTCCGTAGGCGCAAAGGCGTTTTGTAGGTGTACCCGTGGAGGCCAATGACCGGGGCGAACCCGGACAGGTATGCCGCAAATCTATATAATAAAACGATTCGACTGCGGATAGTAGACGGCCGTGTAGGTGTAGGGGAACAACAAAAAAGCATACTAAAATCGTGCCGCAAGTAAAGTGAATTATTGAACATCAGGTGTTTAAGTTCAACGCACCTCATTAAAATAGGCGCTGTCCAAGGTACTGGATAAAGTTCTGCGTTTCGGAGTCACTCATTGACGCCTGTTTCCGAAACTTTTGGACACGAGAGGAGGATCGGTGGGCAAGGACAATATCTCATCTGATCAGGTTCGGCCTGAAAAAAAGTCGGCAAAAGGGAATAAAACCCACTGTCATAAGACACATCGAGAACGCAAGCCCGTATGACTCGCATCTATATAAAGCACGGCTATTAGCTCGATCGGACATCTCTGGATAGTCCCGCTACCAGTCATTCTTTTGAATAGCATACGGTCCATCAAAAAAAAGCGCTGTTTCTACAAACAATACTAAGAGAGCATAACGAAAGTTACCGTCTGTTTACTCGCAATACGCCTGTTAAAATCTATGGAGATAGCTGGGTAGTAACCAACGACTACTTCACGCCCACTATATCAGCAAAGACTATGGGAAGTCTTCATCGCCATAATGGAGCCTTAATTCGACTACCCGACGCACTCCAGGAGTGGTATTCTAACCCAAAAATGATAGGAAAGGTGGAAACCGAAGACATTTATTAATCGTTAATAGGGGAGCAAAACCTAACAGTACAGCTTAAAATACATTCATGGGACTGATGGCAACCCATTGTGTCGCATAAAGCTCAGACGGGGTGGGGGGTTGATGACTTAGATCAGACAGCCGGGATCATGGAAAGGTTCAAATAGGTACTTAAATCTGAGAAACACTTTCAGTGACAAAAGCGAACGTCAATCGCTTAGCGTGACCGTTTCAAGGGACCTAATGTTACATGTGTCCAAAATCCAAGCGAACAGACAAAGACGCACAGATCACTAAATATACAGCAAAAGCTCCACTGAGCGAATGTAGCACGGGGATAGGACGGTTTTGTTAAGACCACGAGGATTATATGACTTTGCGTCCACAACTCGATCATATATCATCATCATACACGTTAGCTAGAGGTGGGGAACACCTCAGCTACTGTGCCGCAATACAAGAAAAAAGGAGCGAAAGAAAAAACAACTGGTGAAAGCTGGCTGGGCTACCGGTAACGGATGGGCATCGTTCCGGTAAGCTACCAGCCGCTGCTGTGCACTCAAAAAAATTATTATGCAAAATTATATAAGGCTAAGTAATGAGATCGTGGTTGGAGGGGGAGGCTAAGAGGGATGGGGTGGGACAAAGAAACTCACAGCACGAACGCCACTGAGGTCGGCTCCTAGCCATATCAGCAAGTGTGTCCAACCAAACGTGTTCATCGTCTTTCGGACCCCAACCAGGGAGCCGAGACGCTCCAACCGAGGCCAGCACAGAAGTGAGGGCCTTCATTCCTCTGGTCCCAATGTCATCCGTCTTGGCCACCCGCCTTTCTTCTTCTCTCTTATCATTTTCTCTTTCTATCCATCCACCCCACTCCCACTACACAGTCTGTGTGTATCACTCACCAACAACAACACGTAGGATGATGCGATATCTAGAGAAACCCACCGACAGTGAGAGGATGTGTTGGATGGAAGAAGAGAAGGGGTGGCCAATCGATGACTTGGTCCAGAGGACTGAAGGCCCTCACTTCTGAGCTGGCCTCGGTTGGAGCGTCTCGGCTCCCAGGTTGGGGTCCGAAAGACGATGAACAGGTTTGGTTGGACACACTTGCTGATATGGCTAGGAGCCGACCTCAGTGGCGTTCGTGCTGTGAGTTTCTTTGTCCCACCCCTTCCCTCTTAGCCTCCCCCTCCAACCACGATCTCATTACTTAGCCTTATATAATTTTGCATAATAATTTTTTTGGGTGCACAGCAGCCGGCTGGTAGCTTACCGGAACGATGCCCATCCGTTATCGGTAGCTCAGCCAGCTTTCACCAGTTGTTTTTTTCCTCTCCTTTTTTCTTTGTATTGTGGCACAGTAGCTGAGGTGTTTCCCACCTCTAGCTAACGTGTATGATGATGATGATGATGATGTTGTGGACGCAAGTCTAAAATCCTCGTGGTCTTACATTACAGACCATCCCCGTGCTCCATTCGCCAGTGGACTTTTGTCTATATTTAGTGAATGTGCGTCTATGTCTGTTCGCTTGGTATTGGACACCATGTAACATGTAGGTCCCTTGGAACAGCCACGCAAGCGATAGACGTTCGATTTTGTCACTGAAAGCGCCTCAGATTTGTTACCTATTTGAACCTTTCCATGATCCCGGCTGTCGATCTACGTCATCAACCCCACCCCGTCTCGCTTTATGCAGACACACTGGGTGCCACAGCCCTGAATGTATTTAAGCTGTACTTTAGGCTTTTGCTCACTTAACGATTAAAATGTCATCGGTTTCCACCTTTCCATCTCATTTTTGGTAGAATACCACTCCTGGAGAGCGTCGGCGTAGTCGAATTAAGGCGCCATTTGGCGATGAAGACATCCCCATAGTCTTTGCTGGAACTAGTGGGCGTGAAGTAAGTCGTTGGTCCTAACCCAGCTATCTCCATAGATTTTTCACAGGCGTCTTGCGAGTAACAGACGGTAACTTGCGATTATGCCTCTTAGTATTTTTTGTAGAACAGCGCTTTTTTATGATGACCGAATGCTACTTCACAAGAATGACTGGTATGCGGACTATCCAGAGTGTCCGGATCGAGCAAAAGCCGTGTTTAATAGATGCGAGTCCTACGGGCTTGCGTCTCGCTGTGTACTAATGACAGTGGGTTTTATTCCCTTTTGCCGACTTTTTTTTCAGGCCGAACCTGTTTCAGATGAGATATTGTCCTATGCCCACCGATCCTCTCTCGTGTCAAAAGTTACAGAAACAGCGTCAATGAGTGACTCCGAACGCAGAACTTTATCCAGTACCTTGGACAGCGCCTATTTTAATGAGGTTCGCTGGAACTCACAATCTGATGTTCAATAATTCACTTTACTTGCGGCACGATTTTAGTATGCTTTTTTGTAGTTCCCCTAACCCTACACGGCCGTCTTACTATCCGCCAGTCGAATCGATATTATATATAGATTTGCGGCATCCCTGTCCGGGTTCGCCTGTCATTGGCCTCCACGGATACAACCACAAGACGCCTGCGCCTACGGAGAGATCATAGGTGGCTTGCGCTGCACCACCCGCAGTTCCACCCACACACCCCATATCCAGTGTAAACCCGGAGGAATAAGACCAAGAAGCATACGGATGGGAGCTACGTTTCATCAACAAAGCCGTCTTACACTCCTTTAACAAGCAGAACAGACGCATTTCCGCCTAATTGGGAAACCGTATGTACCACGCGCACGCAAGACGGTGGCTAGACCGTGGTACGCTCCACACTGGTTGCATGGAACCACTTTTCGAGCCTAGCATGGTCACGAGGACCGTGCACTCCGTCCCCTCCAGCAACACCCAGCTGACTCCTGGAGGCAGCATAGACATGGTGGGTGATAGACAGGTAAACACCTTGTCAACATTCACATCAAGCGCAGCCACACCGGGGATATATATAAAAGCTGTACCATCCTGAAATATTTCATCAGGTGATTTACCGGATATCATGGATAGTACCGCTTCCAGACCTAAGTATCTATCAAGTTTAGTGAGGAACGTCATAGGGATTTACATGCCCTGATTGTGGCTGACAGGCTGTTCTATAAAGCGGCGTATCTGATGAAGAAAACGTTAGAATGTATGGTTGTTCTAGCCCTTAATACAAGTACCGTATATGTTTTGTTGCGAAGTCTTCGTTGTAGCCATCGATAATTGGAACCTTTTCATAGCTTTCTTGTCCATCATCCGCATGCTGCGATAGATGAAGTTACAGCATTCAAGCATTGGACGAGTGAAAGTATTGAATAATTCGTGTTTGGCAGAGACTGTATTGATTTTGTATCCTATCTTAGCCACGGATTGTCTGGCTCTGACTACTTGGTATTAGGTTTGTTCAGAAAAGCGGAAGTTGGAATGATACCGGATTCCAAGATCACCTTCAGCTCAGTTCATTTCAGTTGAACAACTATAATCCGAGCACCAAAGTGCGGTGTGTCCAGTTTCCACAATTCACATCGTAAGAATAACCGTTGATAACAACGGCAAGCTAGTGGAGTTGAATGCAACTATAATGTAAAGAAACTGGAAGCAGGAAGGAGTTGCGTTAGACGAATCATTATAGTTTCCATGAATCACGGGTAATGCTTTTCTTCAGCAAAGCAAAGATTCCCATTTCATTAACATGTATCAGTATCAGAAATCAGTTCAGGGTGAAGAATTCTTTTCGGTAAACTCTTATCGGACCCAAACATTTACATAACACTGATTGTGGGAAAGCGTCAACTCGGGCTGGGATTTACTTCTGGACTGTCTGAATGATCAAAACCGATAACTTGAGACAGAGATGGTAAACCAAGTAAACTAAATGCACACACATACGCAAAGCTCAGTAGTCCAAAGTAATTAAGTATGTAAGATAACAGCCAAATAACTAAGTAACAGTGTCCGTTGGCCAAGGTAGTAGTATCGGCCGCATGAATCGTTTTTGTACACGTAATTCCGGCTTCTGATGGTGAATGTAGATAGCCCCGACGATGGATAGAAGCTGTTTGCGGAATCCTACCGAGTAGTGTTCAGGTAGTGCTTAAATGACTTTGAAGTCATTCTCTGAAGCTGTTTGGACACATTCAAGGAGGTGCGACATGATTGAGCTGTCTGAAGACCTCATTTCGCCCTTGTAAAACCACGTCGGGATGTGTTAACGGCCGATACTACTACCTTGGCCAACGGACACTGTTACTTAGTTATTTGGCTGTTATCTTACATACTTACATACTTTGGACTACTGAGCTTTGCGTATGTGTGTGCATTTAGTTTACTTGGTTTACCATCTCTGTCTCAAGTTATCGATTTTGATCATTCAAACAGTCCAGAAGTATATCCCAGCCCTAGTTGACGCTTCCCCACAATCAGTGCTATGTAAACGTTTGGGTCCGATGAGAGTTTACCGAACAGACTACTCCACCTTGAACTGATTTCTGATATTGATTCATGTTAATCAGTATAGAACGCGAAGTAGCAAATAACTGCAAAAAATCGAGTGCAGGAACTTCACTTACTTTGTCACTGCATCATGTCTGAACGGGCCTCCAGCCATTTCTATGGATCATCCCGAGTCCCCTATTCACAAAGACGGCACGCTGCAGTCCGACTAAGTCTCTCAGTCGGTTTCTTCATGCTTCTACACCACGTCATCGACTGCCCACCTCGCGGTTTTGTCCAGCTTAGTGTGGTCACGGCGTGTAATGCCTGCCAACACAACCAGTCAGTGAGCATACGGAGGACATGACCTAGCCAACGTAAGTGATTGAGATGTAACGAACATTCGCATGAAACACTAGTAGGCTTCTTGCTCACCCTGTATTCCTGGCAAACGTGACCAATACACCGCAAGCACCAGTGGTCAAACACGACCAGTTTTTTAATGTCTTCGCCGCGGACTGACCAGGTCACTAATCCATACAATAACACCGGCCTTATCGTAGCGTTATACACCCTACATTTCACTGACAGGCTGACATCCCGACTTCTCCAAATATGATTGAGCCTCTGGGAAGCCACACGAGCCTTACAAAGTAGCTTCCTCAGTGATATGATTACCAGAAGTGACACAACTATCAAGGTAAGTGAACCGATCCACCACTTCCGTTGGCTGTTTAGTGTTATATAAAATTCTGTGTTGTGTCGGTCCAGTCCTGAAGCAGTACTTTGCACTTTGATGGTGCAGGGCACCTGCCAAAGTGTGCAGTGCTACTCACCAGTCTATCCAGCTGTTTGCATAGTCACTACGTCAGACCCAAGGAGAGAAATATCGTCCGCATACTCTAGGTTTATCAGTCTGTTGAGGAGGACACCCCTGGTGAACCCCACTTGTCGTTGGGAACTCAGGAGACAGTTTCCCACAGAACCTTACACGGCCTCAGGAATCATGGTAGAAAGACTTCAAAATGGAATGTGGTTTATCTGGCTTGCTCTTCATGAATAGACAGTGCCATAAGCTGGCGCGGTCAACAAAATCGTAGGCAGCTTTTAAGTCAAGGAAAACCACAACAATCAATCGTCTGTAACCGTGTATCTGTTCTAACACGCAATCACAACCAGGGCAAAAACCAGACTGGCTTTCGTTGGTTCGGTTCTCACAGGGACCAGTGAGTCGTCGACGAATGATACCCGTAAGCAGTTTGAAGGCAATAAAGATAAAACTAGGGTGTCGTTGATTTTCGCACAAAATCCGCGTACTCTTGTGTAAGATGGGCACGACAGTCGCCAGTCTGAAGGCACCTCTTCAGTGTCCCAAGTCATGTTAAATAAAATAGTAAGTCCAGTCAGCAAAGATTGAGAATGGTCGGAGGGTTCTGGGGTCCGGTTTCATTTCAAAAAGGCGAGCTCATGTCGAACCTCTTCAGAAGTGGGAGGTTTAATATCAACTACTGATGTCGGCTCAGGTGTTTCAGCAAGTGGCTCTCTTATGAGGCCTGTTGAACTGCTCTTCAAAATCTTCCGCCCAAGCGGCTAGTTGACGAGATTGGGAATGGGTCAACTGTTCATCTTTCCCAGCTATTGTCTCGCTAACTAATGGCTTCCTAGGACCCGTGTGTCCGGATAAGCTGTAATAGCATTCAACTGTTCCCAATAGTAGTCGCTTTCTCCATCTCACGGCCCTTGCGACTCGCCAACATTCCTGGTCGATTCGAAGACTTTGTAAAACATTTTTTCATGGAGTTACGAGGAAAAGGCATCAACAGTACGCCGGTAAGCAGTGCCGACGCTTCGCTGCCGCGCAACCACCACAAGTTGCACTTGGGCTAAGAACACTGCGAGGATCGCGAGGTCCCTATGCAGGTTCGAACCCCCTCCCTCGAATTACATGGCAGACTTGTGCTCCTTATGCCTACGGAACTTATGGACACACTGAAACTGCCTTTTGCAACCTGTTTCCGTACTTCGATCATACTTGTTGATGCTTCAGCGATCCATTTGTAGTTATGACGTCCCAAATTGCGTACAGAGTAGCCGTCAAAGGCATTCTTTATGACACTCTTGAAACGTTCGACTCGCCAACCTCATTCATCTCTAACAACTGGTGGGATAGTTCGTTATGATATCGTTGTCACTGTTTAGGTTAGGATTTAGGACCTTCTTTACTGCGGGAAGAGTGAGCGTCAAACGTGCGCTCGCTATTGCCTGGTCAGAATCCAGGCACGCGCTCCTAATTGACCGACAGTCTCGGTCTGATGTTTGCCATCTGTAGCTGATGGCAAAATGGTCAATTATGGTCCAAAACATTGAGGAATTCGGTGGGTGCTAGGTGACACGCTGTGTACGTTTCTGATGGAAAGCAGTGCTGCTAAAGTAAAGGTTATGATCGGCGCGCAGTTGGAAAAGTCGATCACAATCGTCCTCCCAATTGTTCTTCACAGTTTGGAAGGCGACTCACTAGAGCATTCAAGTCACCAGCAATAACCACGATGTCACTATTCTCGCCATGCATAGAAGAGATGAGAGTTCACGATGGAAATCGTCTTTGATACCATCTGACCTGAAGTCAGGAGGAGCATAAACGAAGGCGATGAAGAGGCCCCTTATCTTCAGACGGTGCTCATTAACTTCAGTAGAGGTTCGAAGTCGAACCGCACATAAACGCATCTTTGTCGACATCCAGTCGAGTAGATTTCATTCAGCATGATTGCTGAGGGCGATAGCAATACCGTGAATACGATTGACTCAGTATTGTCAGAGTCGCCAAGAGTGTGGTCATTGTCAGTATATTCGGGACCAAGAAGTTAATGCTTCGTCACCACACTGTTATCTTGTATGTGTGCTTCAGGGACACAGCACACATCAAT